GCGCTCCCGGTTCTGCTCGACCTGCCGTGCTTTGCATTGCTCAGCTTACGTAGCTTTACCTTCTTTTGCAAAGCATAGGACAGTGCTCGTTCTGTGGGTTGGGTTTTAAGGCGCCTGTGGAGTCTAGTGTGAAGTTTTGTTTTCACTTTCTCTTTCTCTTGTTTGTTTTGTTGATTTGGTTTGGGTTTTTTTTAGGCAGCCTCTTTCGGTGTGAAATGTTGAGGATGCTGCATGCTTTAGTCTTTGAATGACTTAATGAAGCAGATTGACCATCTCATGCAGTAAAGCGTAAGAGGCCATAGGGAGGTTAATTTGTAATTTGCATCCTACTGAACTTGTATATCTAATTTTTCTTTCCATCGGTGATTACTTTTATCCGCCAGGCTTTTTAAACAGAAGCCTTCAGTTCGCAGTTAGCATGTGTGATGACAGTAGGATAACTTCTCAAGGTATTGCTGCAAATGGAATGTTTCTACAACCGTGGCTTGTATCCACGTCCTCTAATTTAGCAGAAACCCACACAGGTGTTGTGTGTTTTCTTCTTCTAGTACCTGTTGAATCCCTTCTTAGGTTTTAAACCTGGATCGTATTATAAAAGTCCCAGCTCTCTAGTCACTTAAACTATTTATTGGCTTGTTAAATTGAACCACATCTGCTGCTGTGAAGCCAAGATTTGTTTTAGAATTCTGTCGCAGGACTCTAATACTCTTTAGCAGAAGACATTATAAAGCTAATTTTACCATGGTTTCTTAAGAGGTCATAAAAGAGCAGTGGAAACAGTAGTCCCCCTTCAGAACAGGTAGCCTTATTTCTTTAGAGCATTGAGGTATTTCTAAATGCCCTCATTACCCGTAGTACTTGAATATTTTTTGTATGATCAGCTGTGAAAAAGGTTAGCTTGGACATGTTAAAACTTAATTAAGATTGTTTGTCAGTCCAGTAAGAGGAACTAGTATGGCAAGATAACTTTGTGATGTCTCATAGTACCAGCCCAGAAGGACATTCACTGATACTTGGAAGGTGGGAGTTTTGAAAAAACGGTAGGTGGAAATACTTTTTTAAACCATGTAATTAGAACTAGCTGCCAGAGGAAATCATTCAACGAGATTCAAAGCAAGCAGATATTTGTATGAATACCAAAACGGTCTAGAGCCTTTATAACGAAAGCCAAAAAAGCATTTAGAAGAGAGATTAAAGCATATGACTCAGGGTTCAAACTAATCTTTATGGGAATGAGAACCGTACTTCCCCGTGTTACAGAATATTAAAATGTGGCTTCCACAGCGGTCTTGGGCTGTCCTCGAGTCCCCTGGTTCTGAGCCGTGTTGGACCAGCAGGATTGTGAGCTTTGCCGCACGTCGGCTGGGCATATGTAAAATCACATTGCTAATTGACGGTGCGGTGAAGGCAAGAGTTCAAAGGTCCGCCTGCTGTAACCTGTTCCCCACATGATAATGTACACCATGAAAAGAGCATTAGCTCTGCCTGTGTGTGAAATGTAAAAACGCTAAATGACGCCGCCTCTGCCCGCGTGCACGGGAAGCATTGGAAGCTTTCGATGCGCATTCGGTTCGAAGAAAAGGCCCGTGTGTTGGCAGCGGCGGGTTTTTCCCCTGACGGTGGATTTCAGGCACTCTGTCAGACTGAGATATTCTAGGTGCACGTTTTCGTCACTTTACAGAGAAGCTGAAGGAAAAAAAATGTATAGTTGCCAGAATGTTGCACATTCCTGAAATGTTAGATTGCAAATGTTCATTTTAAAGGCCATTCTTCCTATTTTAGGATTTCTTCCCAACTCTTTTTTTTTTTTTTTTTTTTTTCCCCCCCCTCTAGGTCTTGCTGATCCATTAGTTTTTACACACTCATTTAAAATGTCATGCTTTAGTGTGACTTCCCTATTTGTTGTAGAGATGAAGGATTGGTGAGCCCACCAGTTTCTCTTGGTAAGCTGTTTCAAGTATCTGCAGTTAGGGGTTGTATTTCGTTTCAGTTTTGAGTTTAACTTGCAGCTATCGCATCTGATGCTTCTCAGCAAGATTCAACAGTCATGCACTGCTGGAGTTCCTCTTTCATGTGTCAGGACCCACGTGTA